AGGAGAATCGTCAAATTTGGGTGTGAGCCTGTGTGTCCTCCACATCAAGTGATGACGGTGGGGGCAAGGCAGAGGAAGGAGAGAAGGAGATGGAAATCTCTAACAATCTTTAGTGAATAGGCACAAGTTAGCTTGATCTGAGAAGGCCTCTTTCCCTGAGTGCCAATTCCACCCCCTCCTTTTTGTAATGGGTTTAGTTCCCACAGCTAATGTACTGCGTAATGAGGCCAGAGGGAAGCAGAATGCTCTGGAGTAATGATACGGAGCCTCCTGGGCCCCACAAAGGACAGAGAGAGAGAGAGAGCCTGGCTGGATGGTCTCAACAACAGGGCCCAGACTCCTTTCAGCCCCCGTGAGCTGAAGTCTCCTGCCAGGGCTCACGCTAAGCAGCACCACAGCACGGGTCCTGGTGTAAACCCCACAAGAGGTCCTATTACAAGACAGATCCCTGCCAAGCCAAGTTTGCTTCTCTGTCTAAACCCTGACCCAACCTTCCATCCCCTCCCTCCAGGTCTTCCAGTCACTGGTCCAGAAGTTTCTTTCACTCAGGATGGGGCACACTCTTCCTATATAACCCACTCCCAATAGGGTAAGAATGTGCCCCCTGCCAATCTGTCAGCTCTTACCAGGCAGAAGGGGCACACTTGGGGCACACAAATGACCAGTAGAAAAAGAAGTCATATGAAAAAGCGACCTGAATCCTTTTGATCACTTTTGATTGCTCAATCCTGCATATCCCATGGACTGTCCTTTAGTGTAAAGCCACTGACTTTATTTTGCATGGGGGCACATTTATGTGTGCCTTTGTTATACCCGCTTGAGCTGTGCTCCTTATGCATCTATTTATTCCTTTGGTCTCCAGTTATATAATCCACAAAATTGATCTGGAGCTCACTCCATGTGCACTGAGCTGAAATTTGCATGACAGAAAAGTGGGTTCCAAATATTGATGTCCTTGGAGAAAATCTGGCAATCATTATAGACTACTAAAGTCCCCTAAAGCCACCAACCCAATGGGCTCTTGGGAATCCCAAAGGGCAAGAAGGAAAAAGTGAAGGTAAGATGCCAGAAGCAAAGGAGAAAACATTCATCTTTGGACAAATCCAATGTTCCCTTGTCCATTTAAAAACAAAAACAAAAACAACAACTGAAAGCTTCACAGTTGTAAAAGTTCAGCAAGAGACAATTGGAATGTTCAGGGGGTGGGTGGGAGAATATTGCTGATATAATGATGGCACCCCTGATGTACACGTTTGAGTTTACAAAGTACGTATAATATTGACTTAGTCTTCCTAACATCTTATGACGGTGCCCTATAAAATGTAGGAATGTTGTCTAGCACTTACAGATGAGAAATCTGGGCCCCTGGAGGTAGGGTTACAAGGCTGCACACCTAGTAAATGTTATAGACAGTGCCCCCAGCCAAGAATGTGGGCCTGTGGGCCTCTAAGAATCCCGGTGTTAGAGAGAGGGCCCCAAACAGAGATAAGTCCCATCTGGAAGATCACATAGGACCAGAACCAGTGGAAAAGGCTTGCTTGCTGCTTCTAAAACCTTCATCTTGGGGTAACCCTAGAAGCTGGCATGAGATAAAATGTGGAGCAAATGAAAAGGCAGGCCTTTATTAGGTGAGTAGTAAACTTGTGGTGTTTGTCGATAACAAATAGCAGGACCCACTCAGTCCGACTGGCAAGTTCTGTACTAAGTGTTTTGTTTCCCACGGGGATTCCATGAGTTGGACATGATCCTTGCCCTTGGGGGTCGACTTTAAGAGGTGGTACTTGGGCCTTCCCGGTGACGCAGCGGTTGAGCGTTGGGTTGCGAAGCTGCCCGCGGCCTCTGTGGCGCCGGTTCGATCCCCGGCTGCTCCCCGGCCACCGGAGGAGGGTCCCACATGGCACGCAGACCTCTTCTGCTGCCCGCTGCTCCCCTCAGCAGTGTACTTCGGTCCTTCTGCCTGCTCTGCTCCCTGCTCTGGCTCTGGTGAATTCTCTCACCCTCCTGCGCTTCTGACTGTACCCAGTACACGTATAAACAAACAAACAAACAAATAAATAAAAAACATGCCTCTATAAAAAAAAAAAGAGGTGGTACTTTTAGGGGCCTCCCTGGGGACACAAGGGGTTAAGTCTCAGTGCTATCAGAACTATCGTCAGCCACCACAGCATGAGTTTGATCCCGATCCCGATCCAGATCCTGGCCAGGGAGCTGCGCACATGGCGCAGCAGACCTCTCCTGTCTCTCCTGCTGCTCCCCTCAGCAGTGTATTTCAGTCAATCTGCCTGTTCTGCTTCTCACTCTGTTTCTGGTGAATCCTCTCGCCCCTCCCCCTACCTCAGGCCTGCACCCCAGCTCTTATATGCATAAATAAATAAAATAAGTTAAAAAAAAAGACAATACTTTGGGGAAATAAAGATATCTTTTAAGGGCCTCCCCGGTGGCGCAGCGGTTGAGCGCTGGGTTGTGAAGCTACCCGCAACCTCTATGCGCCGGTTCGATCCCCGGCTGCTCCCCGGCCACCGGAGGAGGGTCCTACGTGGTGCGCAGACCTCTCCTGCCGCCCGCTGCTCCCCTCAGCAGTGTACTTCGGTCCTTCTGCCTGCTCTGCTCCCCGCTCTGGCTCTGGTGAATTCTCTCACCCTCCCACGCTTCTGACTGTACCCAGTGCTTGTATAAACAAAACAAACAAACAAACAAATAAATAAATAAAATAAAACATGCCTCTATTAAAAAAAAAAATAAAAAAAAAAAATTAAAAAAAAAAAAAAAAAAAAAAAAAAAGATATCTTTTAAAGCAACTGAGAAAATTCATATCTGGTCATCTCAAATAGGTCAGGGAAGAAAACTTAGGAGCTGGGGAGTTTCCCAATCCTCTGGGGCTGACTCTGGGAGGCAATCCTCTCCACCAAACAGGCCTTGGGCATCCCACAGTGACCAAGTCATGGTTCTGACTGGAAGTGCCATTTCTCAGAGTCTCCAGACAACCAGACTTGGGAGACCCTAAGGAGCTGGTTCCTTTGGCCTGCCTCTTCCCTTTGTGCCTCATCCTAAGATGACTGGCCTAAGCCTGGTTTGAAGTTCGGTAGAAAGCAACCTCTTTACAGTGAATCCTTCATTTTTTTGCATTCAGGCAGAAATAGAGCATACATTCCCAGTGGGGGTCAATACCACATTCCAAACATGTGACCTCCTTGTTTCACCTTAGGGCTTTTCCCTCTGCCTGGAATCCATCCCCACCCCCTATATTCCCATGACCACCTCCCTAACCCACTCAGATCTCTCCTCAAATGTCACCTCCTGGGAGAGACATTCCCTTACTAAAATAGCTATCTCTTCAATCATTCTCTGTCCTCTTGCCCCATTTATTTATTTTTCATAGTTCTTATCACTACCTAACAATATATCTATTTCCTTGCTTGTTTACTGCCTCCCCTAGAATGTAACTGCTATTTAAGGAAAGGTCCTCGCTTTTGTGGATCATTATGTCTCCAGTTGCTAGGACAGTGACTGGCACCCTGTAGGACCTCAGTGTTTGTCCAGTGAATGAATGAATGAATGAATGACCACATAGTGTTCCTATGCCTCAGATCACTTGCTCTCAGAAACTAATGCCAAAGCCAACTCAACTTTTCTTTTTACTTATGCTCACTTCATCTGTTGAGTCTAGAGTACTTACTGCTGTTACCACCATTATTATAGATTTATTAGCATAACTTAATATTTTTACAATTATTCATTAGACTAATATGATCATAATAATTAGTTGAGTGCCTGAAATAAAACAGGAGTGTGTCTGGCATATCCAGTGACACTAAGGTTTCTCCATTCATTCTCAGAACAGCACAGACGCAATTAGCCTTGAGTGTCATAATTCTAATTGAAGAGATGTGGCTATTCATCAGGATATGTTAATGAGCACAGGGCCAAGTTTGACTAGGAGCTTTCACACACATTTTCTCATTTACTTCTCTTAGGAGTCCCAAGAGGTAGGTAATCCTCCAAGGTTGGGGTTATGAAAAAATGGGGGACTGGTATTCTGATTCATCGGTTTGACTCAAAAATGCACACTTGTCCCCTCCAACTATACTGCTGTACTAGAAAATGTCTTACCTTCTCAATGACTCCCGGAATAAGTCCTAGTTTATTCACCTATAAAACGAAGGGCCTGACCCCAGAGGACTTTAAGCTACCTTGTTTTGGTTGCACAGAATCATCCCCAGGCTCACAAAACGTGTTTTCCCATATGCCTCTTTCTCTACAAGTTGTAATTTTCTTTAAGATATCTTCAGATAATCTGTCTCCTCATTTTCTAGCCCTTTCTACTTCTCGGGGCATTTCCCTTCTCTGAGGAGAATCCATGACCCCTTTGGACTTCACTTTTCTCTTTCATGAAAGGGTTTCTTCCCCCAGGGCCTGCTTCTCTGACATGCACCCCCTCATTAGAAACCAATGACGTCCTACTTCAATTGGCCTCATCATGTTCTTCCTGGTTTCGCCCAAAGCCGCTGCCAAGACTTCCCACCTTGCCTGTCTGGCAAATAGCTCCTGTATGCTAAGGCTCGGTTATCAGAAATAAAGACACATTTCCATTGACAACCCTTAAGTCAGTCAAGCCCAGGAGGTAGAGCCAGTTTCTTCATCAGTTGTCTGAGTAAGGGAATTAGGACCCAAGCCACCAAAACCACCATCTACTTATCCCCAAACCAGCAGTCACTTGCAGAGTGATGTTCCTTAGCTTGGGAAGAGTTTCTGGCACTCTAAGCTGCAAGCACTAAAACACTATGAAGACTTACTGGTTGGGAGAACAGAGAGGGTTTATGATCCACTTAAAATATTTGCGTAAGGAAAGCAGGGATTCACCACCTGTTTCCCCTTCCACTGATATTTATGACAGCTGAGGAATCTTACCCTTCACAAAACCTCGGCTTTGTGCCCAAACTTCTTAGCCCATTCTTTCCATTTACATGAATATTTTCATAGAAAAGCATAAATCTTGCCTTGGCTAGAGAAAGGAGGGTTCTCCCAACTCTTAGTGGGGTGAAGAGCGGTTTTTTTTTTTTTTTTCCCTGCAGGTCTTGGCTCAGCCCCAGACTCCAGTTTGGAGCCTGCAATTTGGTGCATTGCCTCTGTGTGTTTCTCCAGATCCAGGACCATGGCCTTTCAGTAGTTCCCTGTGAATGAACAGCACAGTAAGAGGTGGCATCAAAAGAAAGCTAGTCCCTCCTACCTCTTACCCCTAAACTACCATCAACTCTGGAAAGTGGCTGATGTGATGATCTATTGGCAGGAACTTTTGTTGGCCTCACATCTCACCCCCACCCCAACTTCAGGGGTCTGAGTCCTGTAGGTACCTTCTGGGGATACTACAGGCATGGCTTTCCCTTGCTCCCCAAGGAACTTCTAGTCTTTTCAAGTGGGGAGACCACTGTGGTAGTAGAAAATTTCAGAGCTGGAGGTGCCCTTCCAGCTGATCTAAAGTTCCTCCCTGAATTCACATAGAACTGAGGTCAGAGAACCGTGAGATATTCAAGGTCAAGGCTAGTTGATGGTTAGGCAAGGACTGAATTGCATAAAAAATAATTTATTTAGCACCTGTCTTGGGAATGAGCTACTAAACAAAGCACAATTAATAGACATGATCCAGGCTCTTTGCCCAAAGCTTAGTGTGAGAACAGAGAATGACCACATCAATGCAGACAGCTGTACTGAAAAGTTACACCAAGGTAAGTGCACTGAAATGGGACTTAGGCAGGAAGTAAATAAGGGGCTCCTGGTGGAATGACAAATTAGAGTGAATCCTGTAAGTTATGCCAGTGACAGAGGGGGCAGAGTTGTTTGGTGGGAGGTGATGAAGGACACAGAAGTAGCCTTTGGAGAGAAACTGGACTAATTTGGCAGATTTAACACACTCTCTAGCATCTTTCTTCAACCCCACCCCAGAAAAAGCATGGCTTAAAAATCCATAAAAAGCTGGGAATCAAGAATCCTGAGACAATTCTAGAATGACAAGATTGGGAAGAACATCCATAGAAGTCAGCTCATCTATCCTTGAAGTAGAGCTTCACCCACATGCACCTGCTGGTTTCCAAAAAGACTTATCTACATTTTCTTATAATCTAGAGAAGAGAATTCTGCAGCCTCCCAGGTGACACTTTCCTATACTCCCCTGATCCCCATAGTTAGGATCCTGAATCCAATGGCCACTCCCTTTTTCAGGGAGGTAGTGGATCTAGGAACCTGGCTTTTGTCATGACAGCACAAATCTCTCCGTTGAGCATGGTCTCTGCCCTCTGTAACCCTCCTACCCTCTCTAGACATTTCTTCTGCAGATGATGAGAACTTGTAGCTTTCTAAATTTGATGACCCTCCAAGACCCCTCCTCTTGCTATTCTGCTGCTGCTGCTACTACTACTACCACCACCACCACCACCACCACCACCACCACCACCACCACCACCACCACCACCACCACCACTACTATTGCTGCTGCTACTATTACTATTGCTGGTTACTTGTTAGGACAGAAACATTGTTGCTAAATTTGATCCTGGCCACCCTCACATGACATATTCTGGATCCTGTAAAGAGCTCTTCTGATCCTCTCTAGAGTTGGCCATCTTATGAATTGGCCATCTCACCTGATGGCCCTATGCTAAAGCATCTTAATGTCATAAAATCATGAGCTCTTTCGACAGGAGGACCTTTTCTCAATAGTCCAAAGGGTTTTGTAAGTGCCATGCTGTTCCATCACCTTATTACGCTAAAAGTCAGAGGAATCATGACTAAAATCTTCACCAAAATTTCTGCTTTGCCCTATCTTAGGTTCTCCCCCTGATTTGGTTCACTGAAGTCCACTAAGTTACCAGTAGAGCTTCTGACTCTGCATCAATGATCAGTTCTCAATTATCCACATGAAGATTGGCTATTTTTGGGGGGGGGGGGTCTTCACTCGCTGGTGAATGGCACACATGTATGTACAGAGACAGATGGTTCAGAAGGAAGCAGACTTCTGCGCAAGTCAGAACTTCATACAGAAGCTCAGAAAGGCTGGGCTCTAGTCAGTCAGCCAACCCCAGAGGCCAGGTGACCGTGTGGTCAGCTCCTGATGCCCAAGAAAGAGGAATCTCATCTGCTCTCCTAAGAAAGGTTGGTTCTGGGTGATGATCAGCATCCCCCGAGTGCTTAGCAGGACACTGCAACTGTCTGTTGAAGAACAGGCATCATTAGTTAATCCATCTGCAGGCTCTAAACACCCTCAAGGGAACTGAATTCCACACTACTGAAGCAGCAGCGGGGGTAGCAGCTGTCGCTCAGCACCTGCCACAGGGGAACTGGCCAGATTTCAGAATGGGTCCTCTGAGGCCAAAGACTGCAGGAAGGAGAGATTCCAGGGGTATCGGGGTCACAGCTGGGATTGGAGGGAAGATGCAGAGAAGAACTCAAGGGAAAGAAGGGAAGCTGGGCAAAAAGCAAGTAACCCTCTGTGAGTAAAGGAGGAAAAAAGAAGACAAGGCAAAGCTAGTAACCTTAAAATGAAGCCAGAGATCACCAAGTGAAGTTCTGGCAAGAACTCTCAGATTGCCTTTCCCAAGGACACCTTCCTGCTATTTTGGCCACCAGAGGGCTCCTGTATTCCAAAAATATTATGGAAAAGTGACAAATGTCTCCAGTATTTTCCACTCCAAGCCCACACGTGCGAGAAGCACTTTCTGTTTCTGTGTACAGTCGTGTCTGAGCTGGAGATGCAGTTCTGGCTTTGACACTGTGTCCCTAAATCAACATGGAGAAACCATCAACCTCTCTGCAGCATGGAGAAGTTGCCCATACCTATAGCCACTTTCAGGTGGGAGGGATGGAGCAGGAGGCAAGGGTTCTAGAAAGTAACACTTGAGGCTACAGACGCAGGTCTCATCCTTTCTCAGTGTTTGTGTTTAGCTAAGGAGACCTTCTATCTCTTGGATGTCTTGGACCATCTTTGCCCTAGTTGAACTCATGTTTCAAGGAAAAAATAATGCTCATGTGTTTAACAAAAGATTCAAGTTAATTTGTCATTTTCGTCAATTTATAACTATATGAACTGGTCAAATCCTTAACTTCATGAGCTATCATTTTCTCTACCATAAAATGGAAAGTTTTTTTTATCTCATAGGCTGGACAGAGAGTTCAATGAGATGACGTCTTTGAAGGTGGTTGACACATAGTAAAAGCTCATTATTCATTCATTTACTTGAGTCTGCCCTGCAGTGAGATTGATATTACTAAGAAGAACAACGCAATTGTGAAACTGGCACAAACGAAGGAGGGACAGCTAAGGATCTCACCATATCTGCAGGACTATCAGGTGCAAGAGGGATTAGGACTTTTGTAGACTCAAAAAATAGGGGTGGGTAGAAATGGAATCTATGAGTGAAAGTATTTGGGGATCAAATCAAGCATGCTAGAGAATACATGAATCACTTCCCAAAATGGAGAGAGTAGTCCTGGTAAAATAGAAAATTATCTCCTATGTGGGGGATTTGAGGAGTTGGATGCGTACTAGCAGGGAAACTGTAGTCAGAAGTCTGCATCAGGTGGGAAGGGCTGGGCTAGATGACTTGATGGAAAATTTCTATGAATTCTGTGATTCTTTGTTGCAAACAAAGAGGAAAAGGAGCGAGCATTGCTATGCCAGGGTGGTCACAGGGATGGTCTGGCAGGTGTGGACATGAACACCCCTCCATGTGCATCTCCCTACGCAACCGGCCAGTGCTGATCTCATCCCTGGCCACAGAGTGGCTGGTGCCGAGGCTTTGAATAATTACTTCTGTGCCAAAAGTACAGTTATTCACATTAACTATGGCTGATATAGATCTACTCCAGTATTTGTGGAATGACTGATTAGTGTTCCTGACACTTGGTGGATGTCCAAAGGGAGGGAGGGATGGAGGGCAAAGGAATGAAGAAGTGATGAAGATGGGGTATCGGGTGAGTACAGTGGAGCACATAGTTGGCTCCTAGTTCAAGCTTCTTTAGATCGGGCGCTGTGTCATTTGGGGCGCTTTCCTTTCTTCTCTTCCTCATCTCACACCGGGAACAAGTCTTTCTTGCATAGCCAGAGAAGTGAGTCCAGAGGCAGAGCACTGGACATCATACTTTCAGATATAGTTCTTCTGCAAGAATTCCAATGCAAAACTAAATTCTGCTTAGACCTGTCCTCTTTTAACGGGGTAGATGGGGGGGTCATGATTTTTGTAAGACAGAAATAGGGAGAGAGATGGTATTCCCAGCTTTTGTAGAAGGAGGGTAATGAAGGGAACCAGGGTAAGTGGTCTATCTCCAAGGTCAAAGCATGGGATTACAATCTTGAACGACTTGGTCTTGAAACTCAACTTGCTCATTAACAAGATGTGAAAATTTTAACAATTTCCAAGCTTCATCATTTTTATCTGTAACAGAGAGAATAGTATGTCTTGGGATTTTGCTGAATATGTAGCATCTAGGATAAGGCTTGACACAGGGTCCTGTTCCAACCATGACTGGTTGTCCTGCTATTAAGGACTTGCTCCCAGTTTGAAACAAAGGACAAAGGAAATGGAAAAACCCTACCTTTGATAGGAAGGGTATGCAAATGTATGGAGTCAAAGAAAGGTGTTGGTATGTTTGCCCTGAAGGTGTAACCAAGAGGCTGTGTCTGGAGTTACACAAATGAACAGGTATGTGCACCACTTGAAAGGAGTTTGGAGTTCCTAGGAGCAAGGAGGGGAGGTGAGGGGTGAGCATGATATGTATTCAGAGGGCGCAGTGCCACCTTAAAAAGGAAGCTAGGACTAGGACATGTCGTATTGCAGGGAGCTGTGTTCTCCACAAGGCTGGACTCTGCAAAGTAAACAGGCCCCCATTCCATGTGAGGTTTCCTGAAAAAGGCAAACGTAGACTCTTAAAACCAGTCTTGAAGTAATGGGTATGTCACAAGGCAGAGAGCAGCCAGCTGCTCTCCACTTTTTCTAAAGCTAACAGAAGGGACAAACTACTCCATCAACAGGGGGTGATGTTACCCCCAGCGGGCATCCCTGCACTCGGGTCTGTTATGAAACTGGCATGACCAAGTACAAGATTGTATGAAATAGCCTTTCTTAAGCGTGTTAGCTACACGGCCATGACTCATGGTTTGGAGATCATGGCTGAGGTGATGCCAGGATACCACATGCATCTCCTGTATGCAAACGCTGGCTACTGCAAGCATAACAGTGGGAGAAGGGAAGAATACCATGATGTTTGAGTTACAGGGTCACGATGTGTCCCAGAGTGACGTGGGTCCGTGGTAGAGACTGGAAGGAACCATCCCAACTGTTGGTCCTATTATGGGCACTCTTAGGAAAGTGCCCTGCCACGAAGCAGGAGAACAAATACCTCTACAGTCCCCTCCATTACTCTGGAGGACAAATAGAATCACCTTTCCTTGGAGGAGGAGGCCTTGTAAAGACAGTTACTCCCTTCAATAGTCCGACAATTTCCCTGAAGTGGGAAGGCATGAAAGTCACCTGTCCAGCCTGCAAGAATTTCCTGTCTCTTCCCCACCAGCCCACCCTCCCTGGTGTAGCTGGAGGGTCTACAAAGCCAATGATTCCAGAGTTTTAAGACCATGACCTACAGGAACAAGTACTTGTACACACACACATACACTCACACAAACACACACACACACATTTTGTGACGCAATACTATCTGCATGCATGGACTTGGCCATTTTCTATTCCATTCTATATTCGCTCATTCCATTTTTTAAATGTTGGCCGTGAACTGAATTTCCCTATATAACCTGAAGTTTGAACAATATCCTTCACCACTCATCTCTCCTATTTAAGATGACAATGGTCTTCACCTTCCAGTTTCAGTTCTACCATTCTCACTCCAGCGCCCCACACTCCCCACACAACCCGCACTGACCTTCCCAGGAAATCCAAGTCTGCTGTGAACCCTCCTGTTTCTCTGTCTTGCTCACACCTGACCCTCAGTCTAGAGGTGCCTCTCGGTGCTAGAAAAACTTCTCTTTAGCCTCAGAAGTATCCCAGATAAGAACAAGATGGTCACAAGACTTGCGACAGTCCTCAAGAATGCCTGGGCCAAGGAGCTGGTGCTGGTTGCATCCACATTATCAGGGGCCTCACTATAATTCTGGCTCCCTCAGTCCCACACCAAGTATGCCATCATGATCAACCAGGCCAAGCCTTGCAATGACCCAGTGCCTCTCCCGGATGATAGAGACATGCTTGACGTGACTGGCCACCCTCAGGACCCTCGGGGTTGCAACCTGGAGTGACTGAAGAAGCTGAGTGCCTCCATGGACTGGGAGGAGCCCCTTCCCTTGGGACCCCCAATAAAATGTGGGGGGGGAAAAAGTATCCAGTATCACTTCCTCTGAAGGCTACCCTGAGCTGCTCAGGCACAATCAAACTCTCCACTAGATTCTCACCATCTTTAGGGGTCCTCTTCTTTCACGTGGTAGGGTGATCATCCGATCATTCCCATGGTTTAGATGGCCTCTATTTTTGGGTTGGTACAAACAACTAAAAAAGAAGAAAAAAGCCTTTTGTCTTTTCCTATCCTTTAGGATTGGTGCTTGCCTTTTTTCTGTTTCTCCTCTCCGATCTCCAATAAAGCTCAGCACCCCAGGAGAATGGGAAGAAGAGAGTAGGAAAAAGGAGCATGGTCACACCTAATGGTGGGGAACCAATCTGGCGCTCGTTTCTCTTCCTGCAGAACTGCAGTTCTGCTCCCAGGGATTCTAAGCTTGGCAAAGGCACGACCCGACTCATCTAGATCACAGGAAGTTGGAAAGGCGAGTGGAGAACCAAGATGGAGTGAGGACAATGGCTGGCTTAGTCTGTAAAGGCAGGGTAGAAGCTGAGTTGATAGCAGGAACAGAATAAAAACTACCGACTCACAGCAAAACCTTGTCAGCAAACAGATGCCCTGTTGTGGCCTCAGATGGCAGGCAGTGGATGACCTGATTTACAGCCAGTCAGAGCTCGATGAACGCTCAGGTCAGGTTTGTCTCCAAAAAAGTAACCACAGAAAGACCCCCAGTGCTCTAGTTTTCAAGACCATTATTCACATGTTATTCCATTTAATCATTGACTGTCAGACCGGAGGGGACTTTAGAGTTCAATTAGTTGCATCCCTCATCCTGCAGCAAATGAACTGGAGACTTCTAAAAGGTGAGTGGCTTCCCCAAGGTCATGCCCCTGAGTTGGCAACAGTGCGCCACTCTCTTTATATCTCACCATGCTTTTCACACACAAGCCCAGGCACATCCAGGGCTCCATGGCCGCATGGATTCAGAAGACACGAAGTTTCATCGGACTGGATTCCAAAGCCCCTCAAATTCAGCAGTGTGGTGCCTACCTAATATTTAAAAAAGTCACAGGCAGAGACTCCCCAGCCTTCCTCTGGTCAACTCTTTTTATAATTTGCTGCCACATGAGCTAATCTGGTCTTCACAGTATTGCATCCCTATTACCAAGAGTGCCTCAGCTATTAACTCACCAGTAACAGGTGCCAAACTGCCTCTTCTTTTGCATGAGATGTTCATCTAAAAGCAAATTGCACATAAATCTCTCTAGTCTCTGTTCATTTCCATCTGTCTTCGACCTTTTTTGGTCCTTTTTCCCCTCATCTCTCCCAGGCCTGTCTGCTGGGCACCTCTGAGATGACAAGCAGGGAGCGAAAGCTGGGGGGCCTAAGAGGGTGTGGAGGGAGCAGCTGGAGGAGGCAGGCTAGTCACTGGGCTTTGTCTACCTCCAGCACCAGCCCCAGGAGGAGGCCACAGGGATGACCAGAGGGAACTACACTCAGAATTGGAACGGCCCTAAAGATTCTTCTACAACAACTCCTTCAATTACATATGTAGAAACTGAGGCCAGGAGTGCAGAATTGCCCAAGTGCTTGCGGAGAGAAGCGAGGTGAACACCCCAAGTCCCCACACTCCCACTTTATTATTTCACTTCATCAACTGTCTGCCTTTGACTTGGCCAGTGAGGAAAAAGAGGCCTGGGGGTGAAGAAGTGGAGAGAATCTAACATGGCCTTGCCATGAAGCATGGGGTCCAAGACAAGAGCCATGAGCGGCTGGAGGAGAGGCAGGTAAGAGAAGACAGGGGAGCGGACGACCACGCATTCCCCGTGGCAAGGCAGGTCTGCTGCACAACTCCAGGGGGCACTGTTCCTACTGCCTGCTATGCGGCCTCTCCCCGCCCTGGCGTACCCCTCTGAAGGTTGGGGGGTGCACTCAAGGCAGGGGCAGTTGCTTTGCCCTTGCAGAAATCAGCTCCCAGGGGCCTGCATGCAGCCTGGGGCGCCGCCACAGAGTTGAGGTGCCCCCCCCAGCCCCCCAGCCCCCTCCAGGCGCTGCCCGCGGCCTCCTCGGGGGAGCCTGGGACAGGGTCCGAATGCCTTTCCCCTTTCAGTGGGATTATCCCTTTTGAATTGTTTTTTTTTTTTTTTTAAACGCTGCAGCTAGCGAACCCTGCCTGACAACACCGAAGGAATTTTTCCCAGGGATCGGCCGAAAGCTGACTCACATTTAAAGACTTGCCCAGAGTGGTCATGCCCCTCTGAGCAAATACCACAGGCATGTCAACCCGCGCGCCCGCGGCCTCCCGGCGGCGCCGGCTCGGGCCCCCATTGGCCGAGCGCGCGCCGCGGCCCCGGGCGCAGCCAATGGGCGCGCGGCGGCGCCGGGTTGCTAGCCGGGCCGGGCCGGGCCGCGCCGGGGCCGCGGGGCGCGGGCGGCGCGGGCGGGGAGCTGTCACTGCTTGTTTCCTGTCCCCGGGGCGGGGGTGCCGCGGGTGGGAGGCGCTGACTGTTTGTTTAGGCAGGTAAGGCCCGGGAGGGAAGCGAAAAGAAAGGGCTGCGCCACCTACACGGGAGGCTGCCGCAGGGACTCTGAGCTCCAAGTTTCCATGCCGGAGCGCGAGCGGCTGCCGCCAGAGGCTCCCCACCCTGGGCCCTGCTCGGGGGCGCATTCCTGAGAGCCCCAGACGGCCCGTTTTCCGGCCGCCCTCAGAACTCCCTCGCCCATTAGTCATTTTTCTCGGGGACCCCGGTTGCAGGAGGCAGGAACGCAGCAGGGGGCTGGGAGAAAGGTAGCAAAGGTCCCGGGTCGCACCCGGTTTAGTTAAGTCAATATGGGATCCTGGCTGAAGTCTTTCCACAAGTGTAAGGCTTGTGTTGTTTTGTTTTCCCTCGTCTTTGTCAATGAGATGTTTAAGGCCCGATCTTCTTTAAAGCCCTAATGTTATGGAGCAGCCCCGATATTGAACGGGTTGCTGGCTGTGGGACCTCACCCGTGAGCTTACAAGGGACTTATGAATACTCCACTGCAGGCACACACAAAAGGTTACTAAAAGGTTTATTGACAAGGGAAAAGGAAATAAGGAAAATGTACAACTCAGGGAGAAAATAGGGAAATAAAGTCTTTAATGCGTCCTACCCGATCCGACGACCTGGAAACCCAAAGTCACTCTCCGAGCTGGTCGGTCGCTGCGAGCTGGCGGAGAGCCAAAATGGGGGACCCCCCCCCCAAAGCCCACGTGTCTGCCTTTATACCAACTTGGCTGCTTAACCCCACCCTCAGGTCCCAGCCACCTTCCCTTGGGTGGTGATGGGATTTGGAGTTCCCAGTGTCTTTGGCTTTGGCCTGGGGTGAGGGTGGAGTCCACAAAGCCTGTATGGGATTAGCTTTAGGACATCCTTTTCCCCCTAACACTAACATTCTGGTTCATCTTGTAACCCTGAGAGGGATCTTGAGATCTGGTCCTTTGTTGCTCAGTCCCACCAGCCCATGTGCTTTTATTAATTTGTGAGCGGGATGGTGTCATTCTCTCCTTTAAACCTTTGCAACCTCCTTGGCCTTGCTCTCCACTCAGCCTTCTCCCCGGCAGTCTCTCCAGGGTGGCTGGCTATTCTCACTCCTCCCTGCTACTCTTTCCTCCCAGGGATCTTTACCTACAATGCCACCCCACCCACCCACCCACAGACACCCGCCCCCAGGTCAGCTACTAACTCATCCTTGAGGCCCAGCAGAGAAGGTGCTTTCCTAGGCCCTCCCTGCACCCAGATCTGAATGTGGCCCCACTGGCTGTTCTCGCTTGAGGCCCCCAATCCTTCCACATCATAGCACATCTCCCAAACATTAACTTTCTAAGTTCCTTTGTATTTATTTGCTTAATCTCTCCTCCTCTAGAAAGAACAGAGGTCACTTGCATGCTGCGTTGGACCACATGCCCACGCCTCGCACACTGACCAGCACTCAGTAAATATTAGGTAGAATTCATTAAAAAGTTTATCTTCAGGAGAGTAATGAATCACGGTGCCACTGAACAGATGGGGCTATGGAAGCTCAGAGAGGTCAGGTAACTTCCCTACATTGCAAAAGCCAAAGGTGTTCAACTCTCTCTCTGGTCTTTTGCTTCCATTAAACAATTGTATTATCAAATAACAGGTCTTCCAAGAGATAGCAAGTAAGTGCTAGAAGAATAAACACTTCAGGTGCCCTGGTTTTGCTTCTGCCCTTCAGGGCTCTTTCCAACCCAATGAAACTTCCATTCTCTTCTTCACTTCACAAATATTTAGGGAGCAACTAGTACAACGGTAAATAGGACAGTCCCTTCCAGAGCACACAAGCTGAGTGTGAACTTAGGAGACCAGAGCAGCTTTGTTTACCAAAGAGCAGAACTTACTGTCCATTTAGTCAAAGGTGTTGGCTATGTATTCTGATATTGTCTTTGTTTCAGTCTGTTCTGTGGTAGGTTTGGCCTATATTTTCTATTAGACTAAAATAAGGCGTTCCCAAGCCTGGCAGAATTTTAAGATTTATGCTGCTGTTTCTGTGGATTAGCAATCAAGTGTAGGAACCAACTATGGTTGTTTCTAAAGAAGAAAAATGCTAAAGCTGAAACCAGGATCCCACAGCATGGACTGTGGGGCAAAAGTAGCTCTTTCCCATTGCTGGATAAGAAGCCAGGGGCATTGGAAAAGCATGCGAGGGCCAGAAGTTGCTGCCGGTGGGCAGCCCCTCCCAATATGCCAGCTAGGTTTCAGCGGGAAGCCTGAGCAGGTGTGTCATGCTGGCTGCGTGTGGGCAGCGCCCAAGCAGTCCTACAGCCTCCAAGGATGGCTCCAAGGAAGTCCACGCTGCTGTGGCTTGATGGCCACAGGCGGCTGGATCAGACTGGACCAATGAGGTGCAAGCTAAATGAACAAATAGTGTTCATCAGCTTATTAGTTAATTATTCAGCACCAGATGGGCTGATTGGTCCTAAAATGGTCCAGTTGGTCAAAAGAATTGAAAATGGTCTGATCAGGCAGGTATTAACTAAAGTGAAGGACCCTAAGAGAGGATGTGGGGCAGGGAAGGAGCCATCTTGGAAGGCCTAGGTTCCCAGATTCCTACTCTATTCCTGCCTCCTGAGAAGAAAGAAGAAGCACCCAGCAGCCAAAAAGCTTCGCACTGCCTGAGTGGCTGCACCTGCCTCTGGTCCTGCTCCTGATGCCGCCTAAAAAGAACACCAAAGGCCCTGGTCCAGCCCAAAGAGCTGTTTGTTGTTGGTGTGGGCCAATAACTTACAAATTGTCCAGCACTGCCTCCTGGTGCTGCCAGCTTCACTGCCGTCTGGTCCAGCATCCAATGCGGTCCATCCGGACCTTCAGACTTGCTGCGGGCTGCTGCAATGTCATCCCAGCAGCTCTGCCTGTGAGTGTCTCCAAAGGCAGTGAGTTGGATCCTGGCCTGAGCTCCACGCTCTAAGAGGGTTAGTGCCACCTTGAATGAGTGACATTTTGTTTGAGACTTCTGGACACTGTGGACACTATCTGGGGGAGAGAGCCAGGTACCTGTGGCCTTAGAAACTTTTTGTTTCTCCTGTTTGTTGTTCCCTGAGCCCGAGTGGCCTTGCAATTGTGTGCAGGTGAAAACCCACGGACAGTGACATGTCCTCTACTGGACGCTGTTCTTGGAGGCTACAGGCCCTGCTATAGTCCCGTTTAAGTTGGAAACCATGGACCCCAGTTTCAAAGCCAGAGTGTTATGCATGACAAGAGATTTTCTGGCTACCATTCCTTTATCTGTGATCTAGAAGCTGGCCGGCAGCTCCATCACACACACACCACCACCCCTGCCACTGCTAAGTGCCTGAGTCAGAAGGAAATAAAGAAGATGAAGAGTGGATAAAGTCCAGCTCCTTGTTAATGGCTGTGATCTCTGGAAAGTCACTGCCCTTCCAAGGCCCAGGCTCCTCATCTGGCACAAGTGCTTTCCAGCAATGAAGCATCTAAGAAATGAAGAACTGGCTCCATTCCTTTATTCCTTCGCTTACTCAGCAAACATTTATTAATCATCTGTGATGCACCAGGAACACCAGCCCTGGGGCTGCAAGAGAGAGCAAAACTTTCTGGGGTCTCTGTCCTCAGAGAACTTACCATCCAGTGGGAGAAAGACTGACCGAAACATCAATCAATGCCATTAAACAGCGAGCAATCAAACCATCACCATAGGCATGTAACCGTAAACCAAACTGAGAGTTAAAGGTGAGCCCTTTGCACACCAGTGAGCACTAGAGAAAGCTAGCGTGGCTAGGAGGAGGATAGGAGGAGAAGAGAGCCACGAGGCTCAGGGCCTGGCAGAACATGCTAGAGACTTCAGTTTTGATCCTGAGAGCAATGGGCAGTCACTGGAGGGTTTTAAGATGACAAGTATGTGTTCCAGCTTTACCTGAGAGAATTACCAGCAGGGGCATGGAGCAAAGGTTAGCTGAGGAAGGGCCTGAGAAGGCAGGCACAGGAGAAGTGGGGAGTCATGTTAGAAGGGGAGAGATGATGATGGAAAGTAGGATGATGATGATAATGATGATAAAAAGAGAATTTATCAGATTAAAGGGAATTCATCAACACTGAACTAACTTCAAAACCCAGTTTTCAATTTACCCCCAATTTCTATAAGTAGAAAGTACAGGTCAGATTGTAAAACCATCCTTTTCGTACCTACTAGCCCTGGACCAGATTTGGTTTGTATTTGCTCGCCCTCATTCTCATGCCCTCTGAAATACAGACACACCATGTGGATCTAGGCGCTGTCAGTCTCTCACGCCCCCCTTCCTCTGATAGTCATATATATCCTCACTCCTTGGAGGGTGACCTGGCTTCTCACTGAGACTGGCTTCCAGGCAGGGATTGTTCCTGGTCCCTTGGACTCCTCTGGTGGTGAACACAGTGGCGCTTCAGAGCCTGCAGTGTGGACTCTGAGGGAGAAACTGGTGGGGAGCAGGCCCTTGGTGAACAGACCCATTCTACCCCAGCCCTGCCAGCCTCAGCTCCAGGCCTGGTTATTCTGCCCCTCCTGCTTATTGTTCCTGTGAGCTCTAGAAATGCCCCCAGCCTGGCCAGTTTCACTTTCGTTTCCTGGCTCACACACAGCTGCCTCAGGCTGTGGTGTTTCCACTGGAGAGATACTGGATCACCTACTCCTGTGGTTAACCCCATAGGAAACGAGCTTTGTCTACCTGAGGGAATTGTGTTCTTGAATATTTCACAAAGGGGCCCTTCTTTATGAAACCCAACATTTTCGTTGAATCCTTCCGCTGACCTCTGAGGGAAGGTGTCTCTACCTGGGAAGGTAGAGCTTTGGGTAACAGATTCACAGAGCTCCTGGCTGGCTCACCACAGAGAGAAACCCAGTGATTCCTCAGTGTGTTGCATGAGATAGGGGTTGGGGGGAGACACAATGGTTCACATCAAAGAAAATCTAGCTCCCTCGTGGCCCTGGCAGCCCTTGGTCCCAGGAGAGTCCAGGTCAGAGCCAGTGAATAGGGGGCCCAGTCATCTCTCTCTCTCTACCTAGAGTGTATGGGGGAGAAAGCAGTGCCATGTGCCTCCCTTTTCTATAACACACAGCAGTTGTTCAGAGTTCTGAGACCCAGACACAACCACTTAGCACACTCAGTGTACCCAGGTGGCTGGGTGTGACGTGGGCCTGGCATTGGAGGGAGCAGGTTATCTGAGGGTCTCTGTGCTCTCCCTTCCCTCATAAAGCCATCAGCAGAATGGCCAGGCCTTTTCCAGTTTCCATTCATACCTTCCTTTAATCATTCACCAGACTAAGGAATTATTTCAGAATGGGAATCAAATCCCTGCATTTGTGTATTTCCGCTACCTCCCAAGCACAGCAGAGACTCTTCCGTAAAATGACCTTCATTTGCCCTGTGGGCCAGATGCTGTAGGATATAAAACAAAGGCAGACACAAATCTTGCCTTCCAGAAACTTAAGAGTCCAGAGGGCAGGTCTTCGTGCCACAGTGATTCACTGAGCTGTGGCTGGAGGAAGCACTGCTGAGAACTGATGAGAAAACAGACTCTAAAACCAAAAACAAGCTCCCTATCCCTCAAGATCAGCACCGGCTCTGGGCATTGGCTGGTTGTTCCTACCACCATCGGCCCCATGTTCTACTGCTCTTCTGCCTCCCTGGGCCCCCACAGCTCACCTCTGGACTTGCACTGGGTACGTCC